TTAAATCTTTAACGCATTACTTAGTACTTTATGAAATTTCTTGTTATCAAGGGTACGAACACGTAACGGCAGTTTATTCATAAATTGTATACCCATACCGCAGATAGTATTAAAGGAAACTGTGTAGTTTATAGGTCCTACCTTTAATTATTTTATGTCTCGTATTGTGCTTGGTATTTGACATCGAAGACAAATTAAAAGAGTCTGGATTATTTTTTATGAAATTAAGTGTGACTAGAACAAATATACTCGGTACTGTTAAAAATTTTTTGTTCATTGAAGATATTACGGCATGATGTCTTGGAGGATAGTGAAAAAATTATTCGAATTGCTCTCTTTTGAAGTTTAAAAACTTTAATTAGTTCATTAGAGAAACCCCAAAATTGGATACCGTAAGCAATGTGTGAATAGAAATTTGCGTAATAAATAGAAAGTAAACTGGATATTCCAATTTTTGATTTAAGGGTTCGCAGGATAAAGCATGTACGCGTTAATTAAGCATAAATGGTTGGAAACGTGTTCAGACCAGTTAAGATTCTTATTGATATAAACTCCAAGAAATTTAGATACTGAAGAGGAGTCAAATGAATAGTTATTAATTGTAAATGAGGAAATATCATTCGCTACGCGCGTTGCTGTACAGAAAGAAATAATTTGGGTTTTGTCGTTGTTTAAAAGAAGATTATTTATATTGAACCATTTCGAAACGGAATCCATGACACTGTTCAATTCGTTACGAGGTCATCGTATGTTCTAGCTTTGATGGTTAGACAAGTGTCATCAGCGAACAAAATAAAGTCACAAAGATTTGAGCAATTAGGTAGGTCGTTAATGTAAAGAAGAATAGGAGCGGTCCAAGAATTGATCCTTGTGGGACACCCATTTTCACGTTTAATTTCCTGGATATAACTTTACCACCGGTGCTATTGTCCAAATATACGCTTTGAGTTCTGTTTGTTAAATAAGATTTTAGTAATTTAAGCGAGCTAGAACGAAAACCATACATTTCTAACTTATCAATGAGAATATTGTGAGATATACTGTCGAACGCTTTGGAGAGATCGCAAAAGACGGCTACACAATAACTTCCATCTTCAAATGAGTTAATAACATTTTGGATGAGGCTAAAAACCGAGTGCGATGTAGAGTGTTTTTTCCGAAAACCATGTTGGTTGTGAAACAAAATATTGTATTTATTTAAGAACCCAGAGATTCTGACGTGCAAAATTTTTCAAACACCTTATCAAAAGAATTAAGAAGAGAAATAGGTCTATAATTGCTCACAATATTTTTATCGCCTTTTTTATGAAGAGGGCGGATTTTGGAGTGCTTAAGGTGGTTTGGATAAACTCCCAGCTCAAAGCATTTATTAATACATATTAATAGGTTATCAATAAGAGGATAGAATTCTTTAATGATGCATGTAGGAATTTCATCCGGTCCCGCGGAATAGGAAGATTTAATAGCTTTAAAAGTACTTGCAAGTTCCTCAATTGTGACAGGAAATAAAACAAAGCTATGAATATTTCTAACAATATACGAAACAGGGGAGCAGCAAGTGATGTTCGAGATGATGGAGGAAGTCAAATTTGAAGCCTCATTAACAAAGAAGTTATTCATTTCGTTGGAAATATCATTAATGTCATTAATTATTACATCATTAATTGTCAAAGATTTAATTTCTACCGCAGATTTACGTTCTAGATTCATTTCAGAATTAATGAGAGACCACATAGTTTTTTGCTTGCAAGACGAGTGCCGTATTAAATCTTCGTTGAATTTAATTTTTGCTAGATCAATTAAATCATTAAACGTTTGCCTATATTTCAAAAAGTAAATTTGGAACGATAAAGTACCATTCCGTTTGGATAGACGCTCTAGAAATTTTAATCTATTGAATGATATACATAAGCCCTTAGTGAACCAGGGCAAATTCCGTTTAGGGGCCTGGATTTTTTTTGAAGAAGGAAAGCTAAATTAAAATTGTATAGAAAGAATGACATGAAATTATTAAATAAAGCATTAGCGTCATTATTATCCTGAAATACGAGGCTATCTTTTTCCAGTAAGGCTTTGAAACATAGCTTATTGGCTGAGTCGAAAATTCTCGAATAACTTATTTTATTGTTGAATGGTTTCGCCTTAGATGCAATCGCAAGGGATATACCGTAATGATCAGATAGAGTGGTGTTTGTGACAGAGGATTCAATGAATTGTACATTAGTAAAAAAATTGTCGATACACGAGGCCGACTGTGGAGTTACACGAGTTGGAGTATGAATAGTCTGGCTCAGATTAAATGATTGAATTAAGATCTTAAAATCATCTAACAATTTGTATTTTTATTAAAATGGATATTAAAATCGCCGCATAAAATTATTTTATCGTATTTATTAGACAGCTCATTTAGAAGATCGTAAAGGAGAGTATTAAATGTGGAACCATTTTGGTCTGGGGATCGGTAAACACAAATTAAACAAATATGACCATACTCAAGAGATATTTGGATAGCACAGTACTCAAATATTTTTTCAACACAACTAATCGTTGCCCAGATTGGTTTACAGGCATATCGATCTGAGGTGAAAATACAAACACCGCCATGAGCAAAATTTTGTCGACAGAAGTAGGACTGCAAACGAAAACCTTTTAGTTTGACCAACTGAAGTTCAGATTCTTTGAGCCAATGTTCAGCAAAACACAAGACATCAAAATTTTTGTTTTTGGTGATTATTTCAATTTTATTTAATTTAGGCGATAATTTCTGTATATTTTGAAAAAAAATGTTTATATTAGAAATGCTATTCGTGGGAAGAAATTGATATGAGTTATTGTTAATTCCGAAAGGAATTGTTTTGGTCTGAGGAATTTCTTGGCTCTGAAGGTAGCGAGCCACAACATGACCGATTAGGGCCCCTAAGCATTATTGCTTTGGCTAACAACCTTGATAGCTTCACTTTGCTTCTAAGAAGCAAGTGCAAGCCATGACTGGTGTAATCCCTCACTCCAATGCGGCGATTGACATCAAACACCCGTACATTATCAAACTTGCCATAACCTAAATTACGGCAAATCAGACGATTAGCATCAAAGATTGCAGCATTAAGACCCGGATCATCATATCGGTAGGGAATTGTCACAACACACAGGTTTG